ATCCGCCTTTTACGTTCAAAATGGCAGGCGAAAAACCTGCGTTGCTATAGACTGTAGCGCCTAAACGAATGTACCAATTTCGATGAAACTTCGCTGAAGTCGCTTTAAACATATCTATATAACATACTTCAACGAAAAGAAGCTAGAAAAAAAGTTACGAGAGATGGTAAAATTAAATTCCGAATAACTCAAAATGTTGATGGAATTACCTGAATAACAAAAAAAAAAAATCGTTAAAATCAGACAATTCTGAGCAAAGATATAGTCTCTAGTTTTTTTTTGTATATGTTCTACTGCAAATGTTATATCCTTTGTTTTGGTTTTTAAATTTTGAATGTGTTACTGAAGTAATGCTATTTTTTTTTTTTTTAGCATATTACTAATGATTAAAAAAAAAGTTTAATCCAATAATTGGAATCACCTTTTATTCATTTTTCTTTTTAACTGGGAAGGTAATTTTACTTTAGATGTATAATTGTTTGGAAATAATAAACCATTGTGAAATAATTTGCAGCGTTTTTTACTATACAACGCATGCTATATTAATATATATATATATATATATATATATATATATAATATATATATATATATATATATATAATATATATATATATATATATATATATATTTTTTTTTTTTTTTTTTTTTTTTTATTGAGTGAGTATTATAACAATCTGTCTCTTGGACATTAATATATATTAAAAAAAAAAAAGACAGTTCGCTCATTGCAATCGATGAAAACCTTGGAAACAGTCATAATCGATTCGTATGCTAAACAGCAGAGAGGACTAGGATGAAAATATCTATAGCCAGAGCAATATTGAGAATGAAGGAGCCTGGACCCGCCAAAAAGAGCCAATAGGAAGGCGGAAAAGATCTCCCACCCCCGCCAAGAGAAGGTAAACAAAAGGCAAAGCCGCCAAACCGGTTGCTCAGGTGCCCTCCTCAACTTTCAACTGATCCTCTTTCGAAAGGCTCCTCCTATCCAGTTTCCTGCCTCAACAGAATTGTATCCCGTTCGGGGGAGAAAAAAATTGTTTTCAAGTGGTATCTTTTTTCACCGATCTGGATTTATCTGGATTTTACCGGTCTCTGATGCAAACAGCTCTTGAAGTTAAAAAAAAATGCATACCAAGTGGGGCTTCATTTTTCGAGTTCGAAAAACTCGTTCGCAAAATGGATCTTTTTCTCTCATCTCATATATTTTGAACTTCCGCATATCAAAGGAACATATAATTTTCATTACTTAAAAATTTCTTTAATAATAGTAATTAATCAGTACGAATCTTTATTTTATATATATATATATATATATATATATATATATATATATATATATATATATATATATATATATATATAACACATTTTTATTTATCTGTAACGTTTCTGCTATAGTTTGGCCATAGCAGAGTTTTTGAAAGAAATATTTTATGTATATTAGGGGGATAGCCAGATCCGTCTAATGGCGGACCAATCCCCATTTTACAAATAAAATTATACAATTGTACTACTCGTTGCTGAAAGTGTTTAATAAGCTTTAATTTACATGTATTATGTGGTTCAGATTATTTATTATCAACGTAAAATAAACTGATTTCCTTAAAAATCTATATTATACATTGCGCCTTATTGCCAATTTGTAACCATAATAAATATTCAACTTCATATAAACCCAACTTTTGAGGCTTGTATTTATAATACTTTCATTGTTCTTGTTTTATTGTGCTCCCTTTTCTATTTCTTAATAATTATAATTATATCACAATATATTATAAATAATATTCCGTATAATATAATAATTAATAAATTGTATTCATAGAGAAACGTCCAGATCGAAAAATGTTATCGCTTATGTAAAATCAAACTATCACCTCCAGATGAATATCATTTTTTTGTACGAATTTTTGGTCTAAAGTCTTCATTTTTTATAACGATAGTACAGGAGCTCAATACTGTAAAGAAGACATTAGGGTATAAATCCCTATTTTGTACTATGACAGTAGGAGTTTACAGGAGCTCAACATATATGTAATTAAATAAACCGATACATAATTATTGATAATCATAGAGCTAAGAGAAGAGCTCCTGTAATTTTCTACTCTCTTAATACTAAAATAAAATAAAATATAAAAGATAGGAAAAACTTTTTTTTTTAATAGAGAGATTAATTAATAGGACCCTTTCTTTTATTTATTCCAAAAATATATAAACCATATTAATAATAAGCATTATTAAGTTACATTACATTTTTATTTATTAGTAACTTTTCTGCATTATTTTGGCCATATCTGGGTTTTAGAAAAAATATTTTTATGTATAAACAAAAGTAAATAATTTATATAAAATTAAAAATAAAATAAAATATACATAATTTTCTATATCGGAAAAAATGTTTACGTTATTGATTTTTTTATTTTCACTTAATTTTAAGGTATGAAATATGTTTTCATTGATAAAAGAAGTATCTGATTTTTATAATTGGTAATTGGTTGACTGTCATGGATAATGAAGAGAAGAATAGCTGGGGTGGTCAGTCAAAAAGGAAGGTAAAAAATAATGATAATATTTATTTTTTACATATGCCGACGTTTCGACCTGAAGTTCAGGCCTTCATCAGACCACCCCAACTATTTTTCTCTTCATTATCTGATTTTTAGAATTAAAATATTAACGACAAATGGAAGATTTTCGTCTAAATGAAATAATGACTAATTTTTTTAAAATACAAAACGAAAAATGAAAATTTTATATTAGGTGGTAAACAGTATGCATAAAGGTGACATCGCTACTGTCAGTGCAAAATGTCTTATGTAAAAATTGAGTGTTTTACGGGCAAGTGTAAAAACTGATTATTTTTCATACTACAAGTATATTATAGTATAGTAGAAAAATACAAGAGGGAGATAAAATATGAAATTATACTAATAAATCATAAATCAATTATAAGTTTTTACGTCCTCCTGTAAAACACTCAATTTTTACATATGATCTTTTGCACTAACAGTAGAAATTTGTTTGAAAATTTTCAAAATAAGACCGCAACGTTACAAATTAATAAGGATTTTAACGTGAATTAATTGAATACAGATTTTTATCGTTAATAATAATTTGAAAAAAAAATTGGATAAAAATAATTTATTAACTATTTAGTGTATAAATATTATTAAAAAAAACTTGTTTAACAGAACACTGCGGGATGCTGAATACATTTTTTAAAACATCCTACCATGTTCTTGCTGAAAGATATAATTGGGTTTCCGAAACGACAATAAATGTAGTACATTTTTTATTATTACAAAATTATTTATTATTTGCAGATATTATATTAAAAAATTGCAGAATATAAATATTATTATAGGAATATTTAAAAATTATAAAGCGAAGAGCTGAGAATACAAGAGATCCTATTTATAGAACGCAAGCACCCACTCCACTCCTATCAAGAGCTCACCAGAAATAAACAAGTTAGATAACAATTTATCACTACATATTTTTTTTCTTTCTTTATTTTCTTCTTTTTTTATTATTCCTCGATAAGAACAGAATGTTAGGTGGAGCATATATCTAAATGCAATTAATTCTGTGAATATTAAAATACACTATAAATAAATTAAAGAAACTTAAGAGGTTATTCAAAACACGAACTTAGGCCGATTATAGGTTATAGATAACAAGGAATGTGGTGAGGTTTACTTTTCGAATATTAAGACCGATAATAAATATATGATTATGTGTTTTGATACAAATTAATATAGACAATTCGGCAGTCCTTCCGTTTTAACCAAGGAATGAACTGAATATTTTATCTTTATTTTTGTCTATGGGACATTACATATATGTATTGAAATAAACAATGTATTTATATGTTGGATTTATAGATATCGCTACCGTTATTGCAAAAGGTCGTGTGTAACATTTTTTTTATTTTTATACTCTTTGTGCTAAAGATATAGTGCAGACATTTAGCCTGCAACTGCAATAAGTAAGTCTGCTATTATAGAAAATAAAATACGAAATTATACTAATAAAACATAAAGAAATGATCAGTTTTTATGCTGTTTTGTAGAACAATTCAATTTTTACTTTAACAGTTGCAATACTTCATTATTGGCTTACGCATGTTTTTTTTTTAGTTTTTCTTATTAATATATTCATATATAGGGACCAGGATTTCTAATTTTGTGAAAAAGTTCTCTTTTTTTAAAAGTACATTTTAAGTTTGTGAGTGTCAAAAAAGGGATTTTTTTTTTCAAACGAAGCCTAATCATACAGTTTAATAATATTTAAATATTAATAACAATAAAATTTAATATATTTGGTTTTAATAATATAATTAAAATAGACATAATTACGTGTAATCTAACTTATTATTTTGTTTATGTTTAAGCGGAAGGGATTTTAAGTCCATTCTAAGGGGAAAAAATGGAAAAAAATGACTGATTAAAAGGAAAATAAAAAAATTTAGTGGAACCATTGATAGAGACTACCATGTAGTGTAAGTCTAAAATCCCTCTTTATATCTACTGAAGGAGTTGTAAAAACAAATTGAAATATTCACAACTTTATCAAACTAGTCATAACTCAATAGTGTAGATTTCCATTGAGGTGTTCATTGAATTTAGTATAGATATGCTCTAAGTTAATTAAAATAAAATCAATCTTTTGTTAAGTCATATGAAATGAATGTAAAATAAGAAAATACAGATAAATGAATAATTCTTGGGAATAAGCAACGATTTAGTAATGTTAAAAAGTTACCCTTTTTTATTTGTTGAAGTGCAGCTTATTTTTTTATTTTTGCTGTTTTTTCCTTACATTTTCATATATGGCTGAGATATGGGCGTCAAAAGCTTTTAATCCAACTGCATTTAATATTATTTGTAAATCCAACATAGAAATACATTACTTATATACGTAATTATTTATAAGTTATTGAAAAAATGAAAAAGAAAGAAATTGAGTCCTTGAATCTTGAAGTTGTGCCTACAATCATAATGTCAGTAGGCGTAAAAGAAAAGACCGATGGAAAAGAAAAGGTAATTAACTATGAATTGAGCAACAACTTCTAACGTTATAATTTTTTTCTTATATCTTTATTTATAGTGTTTAATCATTTTTTTTAAAACTAAAAACCGTTTATTAATCGCACTGAATATTTTATTTAAGAATATTAGCATGTTTTCGTAGCAGTTTTTTCTATAAAATATGGAATGTATTAGGAATAAATAGAGACACACGTATGTTGGTCGTCATTTCGAAAAAAACTATGGTAACGAAAAGCATATAAAAATACGGCTGGACTGGATTGCAACATTGTATCGAAATTTCAAAGAAATAGGTAAAGAATTTAAAAAAAATTATCGGTTTTGAACGAACTTACTTTTACCTTTTCTATACCGTTCCCTAAAACATTTTATCGCTACCTTTTTTTTTTTTTATTATTCATGATATTTATAACTGCAAAAAAATAAATATACACTCAATAAATGTAATGCATGGAATTAAAACGGCACGAAAAGGCTTGTAGAGGAACTACTCATTGGTAGAACTGTGATCGAAGAGGAAGCAATGAAAGAAACCGAGGTTTCGGATGGTTCAGATGTTTATTACGGAAGGATAGTTGTGTGGATTGAGCCAAATCGGGAACATATGGAACATTAAGGACATTATGGATGATTTTATAAAGGAGCATTGAGGATTTTACAAAGGGTTTTGGATGTTGAGAATTGGATACGAGAGGAATTCGATGGTTTAGTGGAGCTCCAAAGCTCATCTCTGTACGTCCAAGTAGTAGGGTTGCCTAAAATCTTTCTTGGTCCCGCAAAGTGCAAGGCCAAGAAAGATTTTAGCCACCTAAAGACCAGAGAGATCACGCCCACCTAACTGTTGCAAGACCAAGACCAGGACTGATAAAAAAATAAAAGGCAATAAAAAAATAAGGCAAAATAGTTACTAATACTTGACAATCTTAGTTACTATATGTTAATAATTGGTATAACCAATATACTTTTGCATTTAACTCCCTATATTTTTCATTTGGGCTTAGTTAGGTTTCTCTTATCTAAAAAATTACAGTAATATCTCTATAATAATAAGCTAATAAGTAACTGCAAGACTGTAGCGAGAGTCTTGCGCAAGACCAAGACCATGACCAAGACTGAATTTGTAAGACCAAGACTCTTCTTGGTGTCGCATTTGGGCAACACTACCATGTACGCCTTATTATAGTCATATTCATGAATCTTTTGTAATTAATTGGAAACTGAAAGTATTTGTCTATTAAGTGCTGGAGTAGTCGAAAACGTGGAACGCTTTTTCCCAGTCAGGTATGATGTTAACCTGAGTATGAACGATTTCTTGACGTTTCAGTCTGGTATGAGAATTCATAATGAGACGTTTGTCCTGATGGAGAACTAGGTCTTGCATTTGTTCAACTAGGATATGTGGGTTATTATTTATGGATACTTTATAACAGAAAGTTATAGGTTTACGACGAAGGTTTTTCAAAAATAAAATTAAAATCTCACATTAATAAGACCTATGTACTATCTTCAACGAAACGATCAATATTTAAAAATTTTAACACAGGAAAGATTTTTTTACTTTAAAAAAACAAACATGGAAATCCAATTAATACATATATTCAGAATATATTTTAAAAAACCGTGAAGGTGTGATATTAACATAGTTAAGGCTAGGCATGGTTCAAAATAAAATAAAAATTACCAAGACTCCAAATATATCATATTTAATTATCTATTTATTCGTAGACAATCTCATTCGTTATAGACCCAACCCTACCCACTCCAATCATTATACCCCTACCCTAGACAATATAGTGGCTGTGGCAAACTATTTGCCCAAGGGCACACTACAGAGTGTACTGCTGCCCACACTATCAACCAGACAGCAACAACTGCCTTAGATAAGGGGCTAGCCTTGAACCTTCTTGTTCCTCTCTGGCTTAGTTCTATCTTCCCAGTTCTCATCTCGCTTTACAAACCACAAATCCCACTCGTTACACTCTTGCGAACGTTCAAGTTAAGCATTTAGAAAAAAATGTTTACTATCCAGCCACAATATTGTAATAATAATTATCATAACCTACAAACCAAGGGTTTTGTTCAGCGAAAAAAAAAAAAAAACAACTGCTGTGTTTGCTTTAGAGCACAAGGTAGAAGTGAAAACTCCAACAAGGCAATATTAATTATAGCAAATATAATTTTTTTTCTATATTCACAAAGTAATAATATAAACAATTATAGTTGAATATAAAGTATTTTTTGTACTATATTCACAAAGGAATGGCATTTAGAATATATAAAATTATAATTGTGTATACATTCTCTAGTAAACTTTGATTTGACTAATCGTCATTTTGTATCATGATCTAAACATGATACAATAGGTTTATCAAAAACAACATATGAGATAAATACTTTTGTTTGTAATATATTTGCTGAATATCTAACAAAAATCCCGTCATTTTTTTTTAATATAATTTCTGTGACGAGGGTCAGTAATGAAATATAAATTATAAATAACAGCTCGTAATAAAGAGGATGAAATGTTGAAATTTTTCCTTACTTGCAGGATGCAGGTATGCAGGAAATATTTTTAGTTTATGAGATATTTTAATCCATATCTTCAATAAAACTCAGTATTTCCTAGGTACGTTCCTCTACCAAATCATCAACAGCCATCGTCCTTCTTACGCCAACAATCTTCTCCAGTTCAAATCCTCAGTCCATTCCCTGTCCACAAGATATCGACCTTCTAACCTTTACATGCCTTCTCACAGATCTGCTTTATTCCAAAATTCCTTTATTGTTCCCTCTGTCAATTTCTGGAATTCCCTCCCTCTCAAAATTCGACATTCCCCATCTATATTCACATTCAAAACCCTCCTATTCCAATTCCTATCCCAAAAACAGTCAGATAGTTGCTAACCATTCGAGCTGATTTTAATGGAGAATTTGATACATTTTTATTTTTTAATTCTTTATTATTTTCCTAAAAGTGTATATCTATCAGTGTCTTGTCATAGTATTAATTGTTTTGTATATAGTTTCGTTTGTTTTGTATATAGAATGTTTACCTTATATTTTTTTTACATTATTTCTTTTTTTCGATTGATTTTATTTTGGCCAGAAGTAATCTTTTAATTTTGTTCTATTTTGTTAGTCTCAAGAGACTGTGTCCCAGAATAAAGTTATTTTTCTATCTATCTATCTATCTAAAACTCGTTATCATTTGAATTTCAACACTATTTTTCTCTTTTCGCCTCTCTAACACATCGTCGAGTCAACATTCAATTTTGAATAATAGCTCATTACAAAAAAGATGAAATGATGAACATTTCCCTTGCTAACAATATGTATGTGCGATTTTTATTTTTTGAGATATTTTAATTTTGATGCTAAAACACTTAATTATTCGAATTCAGCTGACTTTACCCGAGCGTTACCCATCTGACGGCTCAATCTAATTCCCTCTCATAAAAAAGTGCAAAATACGCCTAAAGACGTTTTCAGTTCAAAAACAATTATTAAAAAATAAAAAAAAATATGATTATCATCTGCGAACCATCATGTAGGTGCAATTATATAATATTTTCTTTAATGATATAATTTATCCAACGCATAAATTTAAACTGATTTGAATGTCAATAAATGATTACGAATGTGAATCCATTCTTTCAGGAGTAGTAGAAGATTGATTACATCAACATAACGCTCACACTAACCGCATTCTCAGCTGACTGGGAAGGAATTAAAATGAATGACGGACAAAACAGACTCGTTACTGAGATGAGGGCAATCTCCCGAAGACGTTCTCTGACTCATCAAGACTCATCAGGACTTACGGTGCTCATAATGGGAGAAAGTGAGTCATTACGCACGTCCGAAGCGTCAACAGATGCACTTCACGCTGCACTGGCGTTCTGCCTCGTCACGTAACTTACTCCATAGAAAATTACTAAATTATTCTGTTGAAACATTTAAATATTTTAATAATATTACATCACTTTGATATCTTAATAAATGTTTTAAATGATGAGCGTTTCTCCATCTTAAAATATTTTTAATAACACTTATGAGCAAAACCATAAAAAAAAAATAATAATAATAAAACAACTACGAACACTTTAGAATCATAAAATTATCAAAAACAACTGTGTTTATCATCTATTTATCATTATTTGAGGGTTATTTGCATATCAATAATTAATTTTGAGCATATAACAGATCATCTAAAAGACTGAGTGATCTTGGTAAAATTGCTTAGTTAGTAGGCTTTTAAATTATAAAAACATCAATTCTGTATATTATTTTTAAAAAGTGTTTTTTTGTCGGTACGCCATAACTTCGTCAATTCTTCATCAAATCCAATGATTGACCACTCATTTTGAAGATATTTTTCTCCTTCACATGCGCAAAATAGTCCCATCTCCCCGAAATTTCTGGAAAAAAGTTATGGAGGAAAAGAAACTTTATTTGTGAATAATTCAAAAAGTATGCATTTCTTTCTTATTTGTGCCTATAATAATTAGAAAGATTACTAAATTACCTACAAAACAAAAAAAAATCGGACAATTATTAACAAAGATACAGTCCATTAGTTTTGGTATACTTAATAAAGTCTTCCTGTTTAAAGATATTGCGTTTAGGAGTAGAATAGTCTACTACATTTTTTTCCTGGTCTTTATATTAATATTATTATTTCTTAAAGAAATTTGGTTGTTCTTACATTTTATTTTTTTTAATAATTTAGAATATCCTGTGGTCGGGTTACTTATTACTTTTACTATCTTTCCAGAGGATGGCATTATCAAATCATAAATTCCATACAGTGACGATCCAGATTAAAATTATTATTATTATTGACAAAACATCAAAATTAAACATACGCCTCACAAACTCTACAATATCACCTAAACAAATTCTAGGACCGGTGAAAACTCTATAAAATTCGACTCAACCCAGAAAAATCACTACATATCACTTTTACCCTTCGGCGTGAAACTTGCCCTGGAACCTTAACAATATCTAAATTCCTCAGACAGACAAAGTTCAATATCTTGGAATGACATGGGGCCCACATATCAAAAACAAAACAAAAACTCTAAACCTAAGACTGCGACTATTGTACTCACTTCTTTCAAGAAATTCGAAATTAAAAAAGAAATTGAATGCGTATACCTACTAAAGCTCATTTGGACCTACGCTTCACAGATATACGGGACAGCCAGAAAGACTCACATACGTAAACTACAGACTTTTCAATCTAAAACTTTCAGGACTATCACCAAGGCTCCCTGGTACGTCAGTAACATTACTCTACATAAGGACTTACAGATGCCAACTGTTAACGACCACATACGGACATACTACAAAAGATTTCATAATAACTTACACGGACATACCAACTCATTGATTCGAGGCATGGACACAACTAACATGCCCAATAGCACCCGAAGGAGGCTTAAAAGAAGCTGGATGAGGGATCTCCTCCACTAACTATAAATATTACACTCAGGACAGGAAGGACGCCGCTGGGCACTCCTCTTTCTCACGTCTGTTCCAAGAACTATTAATCTTCTACACTCGCTGATTGACAGGACTTCTGACAGGTGTGAGTTGAAAAACTGAGTTAAAAAAAAAGTTATTTATTGAAAATATAACATTTCGTCGCTTGGATAATAGTGATAGGAAAGTAAGATTTTTTTTTTAAATTGTAAACGTCTTCCAAAAAGAAATTTTCAATTAAATGAGCCTAAAAACGTTTAAAACATTTGGAAGGCTAGGTTTCCACCGCTTTATGTATAGCACTGTTTTCTAGAGCCTTATTGATTACATAAGTAAATCGGATATTTATTTCGGGGTTTATTGGGCCCTATAAAGAGTGGTTTATATACTTACTAATATTTACAGTTGAGCCCAAATATTTGAGCAAGAAGGATCTGTTCTTAGCCCATAAGCTTAAGGAAGTGACTAAATTATTAAAAACAAAAAAGGTAGGTGTGGGTTCTACTATTTGAGGCTTCCTGTTTCGCAATTTTCGTCAATATAATTTCGACTAGGGATTATCAAGATCAATTCTGAGGCCCCGGGTTTGGAAAACGATTCTTCATATTTGGACAAGCCAACCTTGAAACGACTTGTTTGCTTTGAGTGAGCTCCAACCCATCTCTATAAGCTCTTCTGTATCTAATCTCTACACCAAGTGTACGAATTAGGCGTGTTTACTTTACACTTCTGTCAGGGAACAAACATGTTTGCCAAACTATGAGAGATTTTGTGAGTTCGTAAAGTGTAAAGATTGCAAAAGTGCAACGTTCATACGAAATTATTATGGATTTTTTATTTTTATATTTATTCATGAGATTTACAACTGTATAAATTAAAAATACATCCAGTAAATGTGCACACGGTAATAATACAATCACATGAAAACGCTTGTTGAGAAACTACTCATTTGTAGCACTACTGCACTAACAATAAATTTATCCAAAAAGATCTCGAGACTTAACTTCTTTTCAGACGCCAAGGAAAGTTATCAGGGATCGAAGAAGAAGCAAGGTTTGAAACGAGAGAGTTGGGTTGGTTATAAATTTTTTTACGGAAGGGTAGCTATCTGGATTCGGTTAAATCGGAAACATATGGTACGTTAAGGTAGTTATGAATGACTTTATTTGTATCGAAGTAATGAGCATTGAGGATTTTACGAAGGATTTTGGATTGTAAGGATTGGATACGAGAGCAATTCGATGGCTTAGTGGAGTCCCAAAGCTCAATTCCGTAAATCCAGATTGGCCTTATTATAGTCATGTATATGAGTCTTTTGTAATATATTAAAAGATTAGAGCGTTTTTCAAATAAGTGCTGGAGTTGTCGAAAACGTCGAGCAGTTTCTTATCGTTTCAGTCTTGTATAAGGTTTCCAAGTCAGTCATTGGGAATTTTGAAAGAAAAAGTATACTTAAATATTTCTATTGAAGTTTGGAATATTTTTATTGACCATAGTGTAATATTGAGGAAAGAGGTGGTGGTAAAAAAAATATTATAAATGTTCTTGTTTCTATTTTAATGTTTATATTTAACACTTACAGATAATTTTTATTTGCTATCTAATTGTATATGAGTTATCTATACAGTTTTTTTATAGTATTTGTACCTTGTTCGGTCTAGTCCTGATGACCTGCACAGTTGGGTCGAAAGGTTGGCTTAAATAAAATAGTTTTCTCTATTTTAGGTTTTTTTTTTTTTTTATGAAGGCCTCTTCGAACCATCTGTTTAATGAGATCATTTTTATTTGTTGTTAGGTATATATTAAAAATGTATCTAGTAAATTTCCATAATCATACCATGAATAATGTTCAAGACAAATATATTTAAAGTTGTTTGTGTTGCGATTCAAAACAGCATTTCCTGAGGCATTGGACAGTGCCAAATTAAGAAATATAATTGTTAAAAAATCCAGTTAATTGAACTTATTCTTCTTTCGAAAGCTGACAATATAAAAATTATATGGTTAAATTTCGGGAAATTTTTTTATAGTTGTTATAAGGTTAGAATTAGGATCTATCATAATTTGATGAGGTTCGTGTCAATTTATTTATTGGTAAATGATTAAAATTAGTGTACTTTTTACAATTTTTTGCTTTAGTTGGTTTCTGGATCGTTGGATGGAAAAACAGTAACACATTGCTTAAGTAATTTACTCATTTATTATTTATACTGTATAATTTCTACAGACTATTATTTTTTAAAATTTTACATAAAATAATTTTTCTTTTTTTCAAAATCGTGAAAATTTCTTATGTCATTTTTGAAATAATTGATTCGATTCAATTTAGGAAATATGGTAGCAAAAATTATTTTTCAAAATGCAGAAATGAAGCAGTCATTTTTAAATTGTCAACTGAATTTAAGTCTGGTTCGAAGCAAACAAAAATCTAATATAATGAGTATTAATTTATCAACAAATGGCATATCCTAGAGAAAGAATAAGATGTAAATGGGATAATTATTTTAGATCTGATTTTCTCAATACTGCCGACATTGAGAACTCAGAATGATTAATTATTATCTCTGAAACAGGAAAATCAGTAGCAGAGGTATGTAAGTTATTCAGGTCATATTTAAGTAGGTATAAATAAATAAAATGATATTAAAATAAATAAATATTATTTAAAAAATTAAGGTAAAAAAACTATTCTAAATATTTAATTATTAATTAATAATCCAAGAGGTTCCTGCATTTATAAACTATTATTAGTCTAGAAGCAGATAGTATGTAATAAATACCCTTGATTACGAGAAGGCGACAGCAATAATTATGCATTTGAAAGTACTTATTTCAGCGATACGAGCTGACGTCCACGTAATAAAGCGGAAAGATCCATTTGCAAATTATAGGATTCGAAGAACCACCACACATGACAAGATTCACGTAGACCACGTAGATTCGCAGAAGTGTCCAGTTTAGCAAGAGACGACCCATTTGTATCTAATTACACGTCTATATGGAGTCAAACTATTTCCTGCCATCTCTTCGCGTTAGCCGAAAAAAGCCGTCTAGAATTATTTTTTGATTTGAAAACTCCCTTAATACACTATTTAACTTCCATAATAAAAAATATATATATTTCGCATGATTATATAAATTAATAACCATAATTTCAAACATTGACATATAGATTACTTAGCCAAAATCATTGGATGAAATACAGAGTTTCTTATAACCCACTATTTCCCAGTGTTTTAATGTAATTGCCAGATTCTCCACTCAAGTCAGGAGTGTCTGTGGCTATAGCGTTCTTAATCACCCTTTGCTGTCTTTTTAATACCCGTGAAGTGGTTGAGGAAGAAGCGCTGGGATCTTCTGGGGCCTTGCTTTTCCCTCCACAAATGGAAATACAAGACTGGTTCGGAGTTACCCTGGCTGATTGTAAATAT